GTGCTTAGGTGTTCTTCATTGTGGGTCTCTAAAGTTACGTTCTCGAAGCCTTATGTCCTAAATCTAAGCCTTTCACCTTAAAACCCAAAGCTCTTATCCTACACAGCCTTCACCCCATCAGCCCGAAACCCAACACCCTAAACCATAGACCCTAAACTCCTGACACCCTCGCACCAACCCCAAAACCTCATCCACATGCCCCTCTCCTCTCCTAGCCTAACCCTAAACCCTAAACCCTAAACCCTAAACCCTAAACCCTAAACCCTAAACCCTAAACCCTAAACCCTAAACCCTAAACCCTAAACCCTAAACCCTAAACCCTAGGCTGCCTAATGGCTTTATTTGGGAGACCTGTGGGAAGGAAAGAGTTCCAGGCAAGAGGAGCTTAACATAGGGGCCTCGATAATTACCTATACTATTTTGGGGGCTCCGTATTATGATTTTAATATAATCTACCCCCAAACCCTGTTCTAGGGTTTAGGGTTTAGGGTAATATAGGGGCCTCAATAGTTACCTATACTATTTTGGGGGCTCCGTAGTATGATTGTAGTATACTCTAACCCTGTTCTATTTACTAAGATCCCTATATTAACCTTAACCTTCAAATCCCACGCCCTAAAATTTATCCCCCCGAGCCCCAAAACCCCCAAACGCCCTGCACTAAACCCTAAAATCCCGAAAGGAAAGCACCCAAACCCTAAACCCTAAACCCTAAACCCTAAGCCCCAAACCCTAACACACCCAGGTATGGCCCTTGGGCTGGAGCCCCCCAACTCCGAGTTGCTCAAGAAGGCGTGTTAGGGTTTCAGGGGGTTCAGGGTTTAGGGTTCAGGGGTTTAGGGTTTAGGGTTTAGGGGTTTAGGGTTCAGGGGTTTAGGGGTTTAGTGTAATTTAGGGTTTATGGTTTTGGGAAGCTGATTCATATCGAGCGGTATCTGATGGGTTTCAGAGGCATCTTTTTCATTTGGGGTTTGGGTGTGTCGGGCATTGGGCATTTATGGTTTTGGGGGGTTTGTTGTGGATTTAGGCTGTCGGGTTTTTGGGATATTCAGCGTCCGGGCTGTTTGGTGTATTTTGGCTTTGGAGTGTAGGGCAGGGTTTGGAGTATTCATTGGTATTTGAGATATTTCGGGTTCGGGGTACAGGGATTTCAGGATCAAGAGCCTGCGCCATTTATGGGTTCGGGTGGCTGGGATATTTAGGTTAAGGCATATGTGTGTGTGATTAGTGTTTGGGGCTTAGTGTCCAGGGTATTCGAGGCTTACTTGGGGCAATTAGTAAACCCTAAACCCTAAAGCCTAAATCCTAAACACTGAACCCCAAACCCTAAACCCCACATCCTAAACCCTGAACCCTAAACTCTAATCAGAACTCGAACTTTCAAGGCTTAGGAGCTCCTTTCCGAGGAGGGACACGGGCTGCGTTCTACAGGCCTTTTTCCAGGTTATACACGGGTTTCGGTACAGTTTGATGCGGGTTTGGGGTTTTATCCTTGCGCCTTCGATATGCTTAGTGCTTGACCGCACTGTAGATTTAATCCAAGCACCCAGCCCTGCACCACAGAAGCCAAGCCGCTGTAGCGCGTTTGGGGCCTGGTGATTGTGCAGCATGCATCTCTGTGTAAGATAAGGGCTGTGAGAATTGGACAAGCTCGCACGAATAGTCTTGCCCTACAATCCCTAGACCTTAAACCCAAAGCCCTTAAACCCCAAACCCAAAGCCCCTAAACCCTAAACCCCCTGAACACCTAAACCCCCTGAACACCCTAAACCCCTTAAACCCCCCAGAGCTTAAGCCTTAAATCCCTAAACCCTAAACCCCGAAACCCTTAAACCCTTAAACCCCTAAACCCCCAAAGCTTAAGCATTCAACCAAGCTCTCAGCTCACCGCCGGTCGTTGCCGATTCAGTGCAGGTCAAAAGCAACTGGCAAGCAGCGCCTCAGCTCGCTGAGTTTGAGCTGGTTCGGGTTTAGGGTTTAGGGTTTAGGGTTTAGGGTTTAGGGTTTAGGGTGCAGGGTGTAGGGTGTAGGGTGTAGGGTTTAGGGATCAGGGTTTAGGGTTTAGGATATAGGGTTTAGGGTTTTGGGTTTAGGATTTAGGGTTTAGCTGGTTCGGGCTCCTTTGGGGTTTAGGCTTTAGGGTGGTGCAGGGTTTAGCGTTTAGGCCATATAAAATAGCCCCAGCAAAGGTAGCCGAATTGTATCGTACACCCGAAGCCCGAAACTGGCTCTACGTCTTGGGGTTGTCAGCGAAAGTTTGAGAGCTGACACTGGGGCAACCTGTTAGCCAGCCCTAGTAACCTCAGCAATCACTGCTAAACCCTAAGCTAACACCGCGACAGCGCCGGTGAAGCAATAGCCATTTTATGGTAAACGCTAAACCCTGGACCGGCCAAATTTCTTACTTGTAGTGGGCCCCTAAATCAGCCAGCCAGAATTTTAAAAAGACTTACGGCGCATGAAAAACTTGCCGGGATTGAACCCGGGGCCCTTGTTGAATCAGCTCAAGTCCTTGAGGATCCCCTCCGAGTCTGGACTTCGGTAGGCTTTCAGAAGGAACCCCGGTAAGTAAAGGAAGTAATCGGGGTGATTGAAGGGGTGTTTTGAAGAATCGGTGATGTTTAGGAAGCCCTTGATGCCCCGAGAAAGCCATCATTACTTCAGTGGGTAAGCGCGCGGCCAGCTCCTCAGGTTCGTAATTCGGCTTGTAGCAGCAAAGAGTACAAACGAAGAACGAGAGAGCAGAGCAAAATAAGAACTTGGCACGCCGATGTCAGTTTGCCATGATTTTTGTTCATTTCTGCGCACATGCTTTTAAACTTCATGTTTTCGCACGACTGCCCCAGGGCCTGTATTTCTTAAACCAATGTTTTCTTAAGCAGTGCTGGCACTGTACCCTCACTTACGAAACCCTTAACGCCTAAACCCTGAACTACGCTAACCCCTCAACCCTAAACTAACCTAAGCTCTGGATCCCAAAACAAAACTCTACTTCTTCTTGTGGGGTTGTTGGACAAAGAACATCGCTCTGCAAGACAGCAATAGTAACGAATAAATGCATCGGCAAATTTCGAGTCTTGTGCCAAAAGCCGCGATAATCGTTCACCAGCACCTTTCATGCCTAATGTAGGTGCCTAAATAATCATCAACATTATTTCGGGGTTTCCTTAGTATAGCTATGGTATATACATAAGATCCAAAACCCTATTCTAATTATTAAGGCTCCTATATTACACAGAGCGCAGTGGCTATGATGCCAACAGCATCTTGGAAGCTGAGCGTCGCTCCAAACGTCTGAGCTTGACATCGAATGCATAGTTAGAGCAGCAGGAGCAGCGTTGTCGTCGTAGTCGAAGTCGATCTCCTCGTCGTCGTCGTAGCCGTAGAGGTGCAGAGGGTAGCGGTAGCAGTTGTAACAGCAGCTCCAGCAGACGCATTAGTCACAGTCGTGACGATTCGTATCGGTGACCGCTCGGCAGTTCAAGAAACGATTCTGGTATCAGTAAGGTGAATGATTGTCAGCCGTGCCAGCAGAGAGTTTCTGAGGCCCGAAACCCCAAAACCTAAAACCAAACAACCCTAAACTTCCCTAAACCCTAAACCCAAAATCCTGAACCCTGTAAGCCCTGTAAACCCTAAACCCAAACTCCTAAACCCTATAAGCCCTAAACCCTGAACCCAACATCCTAAACCTTATAAGCCCTAAACCCTGAACCCAAAATCCTAAACCTTATAAGCCTAAACCCTAACCCAAAATCCTAAACCTTATAAGCCCTAAACCCTAAACCCAAAATCTTAAACCCTATAAGCCCTATAGACCCTAACCCCTATTCCCTGGCTACAAAGGAAGGGCACAGAGTCGAAATCCAGCCGCAGCAGCGACCGGCGCCTGCGAACGCACAAGCTGCGAACGCAGAAGCTCAAGGTGAACCAGGCGCCCAACAGTTTGGGCTTAAGGCTTTAAGGGTTTAGGGTTAAGGGCTTATAGGGTTTAGGATTTTGGGTTTCAGTTTTAGGGTTTAGGAGTTCAGTGTTTCGGGTTGGGTTTAGGAGTTCAGGGTTCGGGGTTTAAGGTTTAGGTTCCCAGCTGTTGGGATCCCTTACCGGATCCGAATTGTTGTAAGGGTATCAGCAAGACTTCGCATCAAGTGTCCTGAATCTGAAGCCCTCACAGGCTTGAGCCGTACGCCCTAAACTGCCCTAAATCTCATGTAGACCTTATTAGACCCCGCCCCTCAGGCTTCATGTCTCCCACCCCTCAACCTTCATGTCTCCTTCAAAGAAGATCCCTAAACGTCTGGTGATGCTGCAGTTGGTGGCAAAAACGTGGTTCCAGCAATTTAGGGTGCTGCTGCCGCTTTGGGAGACTGTCGTAAAGTGGCTTTCAACTGCGAGGCGGACCTGCGTTGTCTGCATAATACTCCTAGTACTGGCAGTAGAGTAGGCAACCTTTAACCTGTTCGGGGTACTATAGTCCCTACGCCCCAGGTTAACCTTTCAAAATACTGGACAAGTAGGTTATATGGTGGACACTCATGTCCCTATGCGCCGAAACATGAAGCCCTAGACCCTAAGCCCTAGTATAAACCCTTTAAGGCGTAAGCCCTAAACCCTTGAAGCTCTAAAACCCAAACCCTAAACCCTGAACCCTGAAGCTTAAACCCCAAAGCCACAGCGGTCAAGTTCCTGCAAGTGAGCATTCGCGTCTGCGACCATTTTCTGCATGACTCCGAGAAGACTTGTGTGAACCGCTCTTGGGTGCTGGTGTATGATATTTGACGAATATATAATAGCATATAGCAGTATGTCATTGTCTACTACAGTAATATGATAGTACATTATTACATTATCATTATAGTACATTATAGTACATTAGAATGTGTTATAGTGTAGTATGCATCATCACAGGGGGTTTGGATGTGCCAGAGGTACGCCCTGTGATGAGTTAACAAAGGCGCTTAATCATTCGACACACCACTACAAGTTGTGCCATATGGCTCATGGATGCTGGCAAAGTGACTGCAGAGCAGAGGGCGAGAATCCAGCTAAAGCGTGAGCAGGCTTTGGCCCGCCAAAGCGCCAGGAGTGCTGTTTCAGCCGGTGAAGCTGCAGCCAAGCTGACTGTGGAACAAAGGGAAAGGGCCCAGCGGAGTCGTGAAACGGCTCTGGCGCGAAAAGCTGCCAAGCTTGCTGCAACAAGGCTTGAAAGTTCATGCCAGAGCTGGGGGCAGCTAGCGACCGTGCCTTCGGCAAACCCGGCCGAAAATATCGCCTTGACTGAGGACCAGACATCAGAAGCGCCTGCACCAGCTGCCGCAAATGCTGCCAATATTACCTTGACTACGCATCTGACGACGTCAGACGCGACCGTGCCAGCAGCCGTGGCAAACCGCCACAGCATCACCCTGATTAAGGATCTGACAACGACGGGGGCAGGTGCAAGGGCATGGTCTCTGAAAGTCGAGGTTGTCCGCAAGGATCAGGAGCTGAAGTCGACCAGAGATGGCGGCAAGTGGTTCTCAGCCCAGCTACGGGACAAGACTGGAGAGGTCCGCGCAGCCTTCTTTCAACAAGCAGCAGTCGAGGGTTTCGAGGAGCTAGAGCAAGGCCATGTCTTCCAGATCTCAGGAGGGGTGGCGAAGGCAGCAGCATCCCCCAATTCTGGAGTTCAGCTCACTTTCAACAGGCTCACTCTGAATGCGGCCTCCTTCAGCGCCGAGGAGCTGGAGGATCCATTTGCCTGGACCTTTGTCACCTTTGGCCTTTCGGTTATTCCAAGGCAGCTTTTTTTGGCTCCGGGGCTCGTGCTCTTCTGTCGATTTGGGTTTTGGGATAAGGGTTTAGGGTTTAGGAGTTTAGGGTTTAGGGTTTGGGGTTTTAGGGTTTGGGGTCAAGTGTTATCGTCATTCTTACCATCTGACTTTCCTCAATTTATATAGTAGTGGTGGTGCTCTACCATCACTATTGCTTGTATTGCAGTTGCCATGCTAAGCGAGCATCATGGAGCAACTGTGTGCTACTCTTGTCAACCGCTGCCGTGCTTGATGTTGTTGTTCTGCCTACGTTCATAGTTCTTCTTTCGCGAAGAGCTAATGACTATGCTCGTGTTGATGATAGCGATAGCTGTTATGATGTTGATTTATTGTTATTGCTTCTGTTGCTGTCGTTCTCAGTACCGCTCCTATTGTTATTGCTACTACGTACCACCTCTGTTGCTAGTGTTGCTGGTACGATCCTTGTGACAACGACGCTTCGTAGTGTCTGCAGGGCTGCTAAGCCCAACACCCCTTTCGAAGCCCCGAAACCCTAAACCCTAAACCCTAAATCCTGAACCCAAAATCTTAAATCCTTAACCCATAAACTCCAAAGCCTGAAGTCCGAAGCCCTAAACCCAAACCTGACAAGTCCTAAGCCTCAAGCCCGAAGCCATAAATCTGAAACACTAAGTCTTACAGTATCCCTTGTAGTCACCCTTACTATAATCTGTCATGGAACCCGTAAAACCCTAAAGGCCTAAACCCTAA